AGAAGTGCAGTGACACAATTAGATGTTCAGTGAACCACGTTGTAAATGTGAAAATTATTAGCGTAAATAATCATGCTAGACAAACGCCTTGTCAAAATCACTTACAATGAGACCATCAGGAGACAATGCATTCTGAGAACGTCTTTGTAGGCCCTGGATGTTCTCGGTATATACAAATTAAAGTCGTTGGGCTTATGTGTATATTTCCTTAAAACGTATATACCGAAGCTAAGTACCTGAGAATGGTTATGAACTTGAATCTTAGCTGGGCATGGGGAACCGATTTGCGGCCCGATGGAGGTACCTGGATGTGCATCTATGCATTAATTGGTGTGATCGGTATCTTTGCAAATTTATTGGTGCTGGTTGTGTTCTTTCGGAATTTGCCTGGCCACCGAAATGTGACCGCTAAATTTATCATCCACCAGTCAATAATAGATCTGATGTCCAGTGTTGTATTTCTACCCTTTTATGTAATTCCAGAGGGATGGCTGATACAAAACGAGCAGGCAGGCCACGTTTTTTGCAAAGGTCGTGCCCTTTTCTGGATTCTTGTCACTGCGTCTACCTGCAACCTGGTATGTATTACAATTGAACGATACTATGCTATTGTTCATCCCATTAAACACCTTGTTCATTTCAAAAATGGGAAGTTCTACCAAGCAAGCAAACGGTTAGTGTATGTATACGGATTCTTGACGTTTTTTCACCTATTTTTTGTTACGCAGATTAATGAAGATTATTATTGCTACTACGATTGGACGGAAACAGTTGAATATCTTCAACTTATCAATGGAATTTTGGTATTTTTTCTTACATGGTTGCTCCCGACGTCAATCATTTTCTACGTTTATACAACGATTATCTTTACGCTGCGAAAAATGCACCTTGTCTTTTCAAATAGTGTCGGATCAGTTGGTTACCAGCGACGGTATCGTGCTCATAAAAAACTCATTAACACTTTTATTGCCGTATCCGCAGCATATGTCGTTTGTTGGACACCAAATATGTTTCTTTACCTTACGTATAATGTTACATCCGGGAATAAACCAAGTAATATGGAACACGGCATCGCCCATCGTATAACTGTGTTCTTATCTGTCTCAAATATGGTTGTTAATCCCTTCATTTACGCCTTTAAGTACCGCGATTTTAAGAAGGGCTTATCTAAAATTTTTAGTTAATATTATAGTTACTTTAGAAGAAAATAAAGAACAAGAAAAATCTAGTTAATAAAGCCGCTGTTAGAATTATTGATTTAAAAAATGTTTTTACATAAAATGTATTTATCTGTTATACACATTTAATTATTATAATTTAAAATTAAAATTGAATTTTGGTGCTGAATAGATGTCTGCTTATCACTGGTTGTAAATTAGTCTGTTTTTCACTTTTCTAGTTTTTGTAGGTTTAGTTTTGGCCAATTTTATTTTTAGTTTGTCCTTTCCAGTCGTCGAATTTTACACTTTCTGTCTAACCTGATACTGATGTTACATAGGTTTTGCATTCAATCAAGGGAAAGGCTGATAATTTACGTGTGCCTTGTTTAACAACATTTAATATCTTGGGCCTAGCTATGCTGTGAAATACTTCACTTGGTTTGATTAATTATCTGTACTACTTCATTTAACTTGTCTTTTCTTTATTATTCTTTTAGTATGATTAAATCTTCGTCTAGGACTATGAATGGTTTTTAAGCGTAAGTGTGGACGTCGTCCCGGTATCGCGTAAAGATAATTCTTGTACATGTGAATAGGATAGCTCATTCAATAATTAATCCTAAAAGAGGTACTTTTTTCAGTTCCCATACAGCCTAAAATTAGTAAAGTTCCTTACTCGTCTGTATAAAATGTTGACTAACATTTCGAAATTATACCAGCCTCCATCTAAATTTCTGCCTTAGGTCGAAGTGACCATGCCTGCATTCTGTCTGAACCTATTGTTGTTCATGAAAAGTATAAAAACCTAGGTTTGTCGTCCTTTAAACGATTTATGGGTATTTGGTCAATTGGTTACAGAACTTAATTGGAATAACTTACTTTCTGGAACTGATACTGAATGCATGGCTACAAAAAAT